GGCCGAGGTGTTTAGATATATTACAACAGGTGGCGGGTACAACTCCACAGGGCCGGTCTGGAAATACGAATTTTCTCGATGACCTGGACCATAATATTATTATGGCCTGGTTGACCGGTCATTTTATATGAGATCTTATTTACAAACTTGGTAAATACGTCAACAATTATTTGATTGTATTAAGACCTTAAATCTATGAAATTATTGTAGGTATTATCATTACAATTGTTATTAATTGTGTTACATTTTAATAGTATCGTATGAGTATGAGAGAAATCATCGGATATACAATTTTATAATATCACATGCACAGTAGACATAAAATACAATTAAAACAATATCTCGAAGCCAGCTGTTTATTATTATAATACAACGCCCGGGTAGCGAGTGGGTTTCGACTATAACTCAGCACAAGTAATTTTTCAAAGAAATAATATTAATAATATTAAATGCAGATATGGCTCTTTGACGCCGTGCTTGCTGACAGTTATATATCTGTAGAGCGGTGACGGACATAGCACTACCTAATTGGCTAATTGAACAACTAATAATACATAACATCGTGTAATTGGTCATTATTATTTGCATAAACAATATCTGTGGTAAATCTAAACAATGTGATGTGGTTATGCTGGTTACTGGTTAAGGCCGTTAAGAAGACGCTACACCCGAATGCGCTGTAATTATTTTGTTTACTTTTTATATACATTGTAATATCATCCCTGTTACGCAAATTGCATGTGAAAAGTCTAAGAAATGCAATGACCAATGAACATCTTAAAATATCTTTTATGCTTATGACCATAAAAAATTAAATTCTCATTTAATGAGATAACAATATTATTATAAATGCAGTTAGTGAGAACTCTAAACTATTATTTAAATTATTATTACCTATAAATATATCTATAAATGTTTTGAATAGGTAGATAATCTGTTTTTTAATTTTGGATATTTTATTATTTTGTTTATGATTTATATATTTATTTCTTATAAATGCATTTGTAACTTACTATACCTAAGCCATTAAGACACAATATACAACTATGAATATTGCAGTAATGCAGTGATTTCAACTATTTAGCTATACTAATATTATTTTCCAGGTATTAGTGGTACCTATATTAATGCACTGCAGTAAGTTAAGCGAAATAGCAGAAAAGTGATTGAAATACCTACTTTGGCATTACTGAAAGTATTATTATTATTATGAATAAAATATATTAGTTTAGCAGTGTAGTTTTGTAGGTTCTAAAAGTGATTTAAATGGTAAGTGATGGGTAGCCTGGATAAATTGCAATCTCCCTGGCTGAATTTGGTCCCCATTCCGTCAGAGGGTACAATGTAAAGATTTTGACAATCATAATATTATATGCTATCGGCGGCCGAACACGACAAGACCAATGTTATAAACGACGTTTTTAACGTTTGAAATTACCTTTTACTGGTAGATATATTTATCTATGTTTCAATTTATGTTATAATATACTTATTGTTCGCGCCAGTGAGCAGCGCGAAAAAATGTGCCACAGCTGCGCACGTTGTCTCCCTGCCAGTTGTCATACTAGCGGTTTGCTCTTATCAGGCTGCGTAGCTGTAGCAGCATTATCTTTGTAATCCGTCGTGTGATTGTTAACCGTTTTTTGTAAGTTTAAAAACGGTTTATTGTGAATTTATTTTACTGTCCCTCACTTCATAATTGTAACTTTTCGTCTTGTTCGTAATATGTTATTCGTTTCTTTTTTCTTCTTTCGCCGGCACTCGAGTTGTGAGGTGTTCCAGCCAGTGTCAATACAACCAGTACTCATACAGCAGGCACAAGGTTCAAAGTACAAAAACTGTGTGGCCCTAGTTTGTTATACATTTTTTCATTCGTCTCTTTTCAATTCAATTCGTGGCTAATTCATCGTTGTTTATCGTTCATGTTTCCTGTTCTGCGATTTGCTTCTGTAAGCGCGGTTCGTATTCACTACATTGTGCAATTCTAATATTATTTTCCCCATTCAGTATGTACAAAGACATACTTATAGAAGCACGTGATTTGTTCGTTGTGTTGAATTGTATTTTCAGTGAGTTAAGCGTCTGATCTGGTGGCTCGTTAGTCGCACGTTCTTGGGATTGTCACATATTTTAGTATTATATTGTATTATTTTTATTGTAAAAATTAGTGCATCCCAAGACGGTAGCGTTCTAGTTTGAAGCCGCTAACGAACGCCAGATCACAGGTAACAGGCTGACGAGCCTCATATTATTATATTTATATTATTATTATACATTTTATGCCAACAGGCAACACACATTATTATACATTTTATGCCAACAGAGCCTCATTGTCATTATCTTATATTGTTTTGTATAGCCAGCTTAGGAAAATATTCACATACGCACTATTGCACTTATATTGTTGAGCCAGCAGGGCTACTTATTTTATTATACATTTATTGTTGTGTTGAGCGAGCAGGGCTATTCATTTTTATTATATATATTATTTTGTTTCTGTAGAAATAAAGTTACCAGTATCAAAAGTTGCTTCTTGATTATTTTTATGATTATTAGTATTATTATTGCTGTATGATACATTCAGATCAGTGCAACTCATATTACTACAGCGTAAAGGCACATCTGTTCCTTTAAGGCCCATAGGCTAGGTGCTTGCAAACACTTATATAGCCATAATATAGGTATGTACAGTTGTAATCCTGCATTATTTATTAAGTAATTATTAAAATTTTTACACTACTTTGTTAAGTTCAAAGCTGTATAATATGATAATAATAATCATATGAAGTGTACGATAGTACATATTATATGTATAGGTACCTATTAACCTAGTATTTAATAGATACTATTAAATATAATATTATTTATTACTTTTAACCTAGTACCTATTTAATAGATTATTCACAAAAAAATATTGTTGAATCAATAATAATAAAACATAGAAATAAATTGAAAATTCATAAAAATTGACAAAATATGGAAAAATCACGAAAATTAGCAAATTATTTTGAGTTAAGAATTCGTAAAAATTTTTCTTCTTAAATCTAAGATTTTAAAATGTAAAACAAGATTTCTTATCAGATTATCTTAGTGAGGGTTTGAAACTCAAATTTTTACAACATAAGATCTTTACTCAATTTCTCATGTAGCGATTTCCTTATTTTGTTGTAATTCAAAAACGAATAACTGTAGATACATGAAAATTGCACTGCATGTTTATATTAGCATTTCCTACACACCATACAATTTTGAAAATGTTTTGACTCTTTTTGAGCTGTTTACGGACATTTACAGTTTAACATTTTTTTAGTTTTTTTTTTTCTATAAAATAATATCAATTAATTTTATCTGTTTGGCCAAAAAATGTAAAAATGTAATACAAGGCTCCTGATATATTGTTACATTATCAGTTGAAAAATATTTAAAATACATAGGCACAATTTTTTTTATAAGCATTTAAATATCGAATTTTGACAAAATTTATCAAATTTAAAATTGAATAATTATTTTGTAGTTAAAAATTTATAAAATATTTAAATTTTATATCTAAGGATTGAAAATTGAAAATAATATTCCACGTAAGTAGTTAATTCTGTTACCAAAAAATCTAAAAAATACAGAAGAACTTTTTATTTTTATAGTCATTTTAAGTTCAAATTTGGACGAAATTACATAATAAAAAACCTAGAATAACTATTTTAGTTAAATTGTTGTGATTGTATAATATTATTCGTGGGTACTTGAATCTTCTAAAGTACACTATTATATATCTATGATATTATCAGGATTTGTTGTTGATGTATAACGCGTTATAAGTACCAAATTTAGATTGTGATATGATTAATTTGCAATTTATTATAGGTACCTATTATAGGTAATTTTTTTTTAATACCATAGATAAGTGTATACTATGTCTTATACCTAGACTGACAAACCGTCTCCGCTCATAATCATTTTTCTTATACAATGATATTACATCATTGAATTCACATTTAATACCATCTATTATACAGTGTCCCACTTGTAACCTACTGTACAGCAGAGCACCATTTTTGATTTTAATTTCAGCATTAAATATATATATTTTTTCACATCAATTGACTAAGAGTTAAAAATTACAGGACCCAGCTGATAATTAATAAACTTTTGACCAAAACTTGTATTTATAAATAACACTTTAATATTACATAGTCCATCTTCCCAGTGACGGCGTATATCAGCCATACATACATGATATTATAATTGTTACATAAAACAAACGATGCCGGACCGCGGAGACAGACAATGAATTCGTAACGAACGTCTAATATAGGACAACGCTATAATCGTTACTGTGTAATAATATTGGGTGCATAAAAAAATGTGCGATCGCACTATCACACCGACACCGCCAATATTAACTGCACAAGCGCGATGTCTCGCGATTATTCGGCTGTTATGTAAACGCGAGAGTAGGCCGATAAAAGTTACGTAACGGCGCTTCCGAGCATTCATATCACGTGATACACAACTGTTTGATAAGGCCGGAAGCTCATAGGGCTCATAGGGCGTTGCACTGCACAGGTACCTACTAATGTACTATATTTGTACGCTGGAAAAAAAAACTGCAGTAACTCTTATTACCGTATGCATAGTAAATTTGTGTGTCTCACACGAGACACAGTTTAACATGCGTCTGACACATAAATTGACTGTGCACAAGGACATGAGTTTAACGTGTTTTTAAATTGGGACGGGCTATAGGAGTCTGTATGGCACATTTACACCGTATTGATAATTGTATAAAATTTAGGCGGTAGAATGCGCCGACGAGTAAAGGCCATTATAAGCCTATGCGGAAAAAACGCGGTGGAAAGTTATGATGTGGCACACAAAACGATACTAACTGTAAGCGTATAACTGTGAACCATATTATTATAATTGCTGGCTGTTGGGTCAAATGATAGTGATTGAATGGGGTCTGTTATACCCCAATCAAATAATGTCTCTATAACAGCATTTTACGTCTCTTCCCCAGTTGCAGATTCAAGCTTTGGAACACTGAGAAGCTTACTTACTCCGTCTCCGGATACTAAAATAGGAAGACGATCAACATGACCTTTCCCGGTAATATCGGTTAATATTTTGTCGTCCCAGTGCACAGTTAGAGGACAATTCGGATTAAAAGATACTTTTATGTCATCGAAAACTCTTTGTCTTAAAATCACTTTATGTCTTCGAATAGTTGAGCGATTTATAGCGATGTTGTTTGCATTACAGCCAAGACTTTGAGCTGTACCAATACGAATATGAACTGCATTTTGATGACTTACTTTTGTACGACCTAATGCTGTTACAATTTTAGAACTCATAATATTTTATCTTCCCCTTTTTCGTTTATTCGAAGTATTTGTAGTTTCTAATGTAAATTAAATATCTTCTTGACTACAACTTTGAGAAGAAAATAAATCAACGGTATCAAGTACTGATAATTCATCTTGCGTTTTTTTACTTCTGTTTTTATAATTTTGAAACACGATTTCTGGTTGATTTTTCCGCATTTCTTGTTTTTCCAGTTTTTTATCTATTCCAATCATACACCCTTTTCTCCCTTTCTCGTTTTGTGCAAATAAGAATTGTCTTCGTCAATTTTAATAATTTGTAGAGCATTTAAATGAGCAATATCAAATAAATCTGTTAATTGATCTTTAAATACTTCTTCTTTTTTTATTTGTGTTTGGGATCTACGTGACTTACCTTTTTGTAAAGCACGCCAGTTCATATATTCTTTTTCTATTTTAGGAGTAAGATTATAGTCATTCATAGTTGGTATCCTCGCACATTTCCAAAAATATAATAATTCTGGAGTTATAACGGATGAAGACTCTTAAACTGTTTTTTTTTCATTCCGTATTAAAAGCAAAAGTCTACGCATAATATCTCCATTTGATGGAAGCTTACTACCAGTTATTCGTTCTAAAGGCTGCCCATTAACCATATATCAGTGTTTTGTCAAGTCGTCAAAGCGTTTCAAAACGTATATTAAATTTAAACGTTAATTAAAATTAATTAAATAATAAATAATAAATATACTTAATACGTATTGTACCTACTTACAGTAATATTTGGTCATCTCTTCATGAGTGCGGTTCAATATATAAAACACATAGTATTATAGCACTATAGATCAGTAAATCGCATATCAGTATGATTATCAGTGTACAAAAATAATATTTTCACATAGAGTATTTAAAGCATGATCGTTAGTAGGTAATTTATAGATAACAACGACGATTCGATGGGCGGCCTCATATTACGAAATATAAAAACTGATTACAATTTATTTAAATATTATATGAATTCTACTATTAAAGTAACATGGTTATTCCAATGCAATTTATACTTATATACTTATTAATTTTTCAACCCTTTTGTAGCACGTGGAGGGGTTGAGTAATCATGACCAAACTTAACATAAATTATTTAATCATAGTAATGAACAAAGTTGGAGGGTAAGATATCAAAAATATTAATATATTTTTTCCTTATAAATAAGGACCACCCTAGCCTATGTATATTGTATATTATTTATAATACCAAAAATATAAAAAACAATAACAAAAATTACATAAATGAAGTTTTAAAAAGTACGTATGAAATCCATCAAGACGCTTTTAAAAAAATAAGATGTTACAATATTAAGTCATTTTTTCATGTTTAATTGAAACAACAATTTTCATGTTAAAAATGTCTTGGCTTTTCTATGATTTTTATACCTATTTATCTAATTGTAGATAAAAAATGTAAAAAAGAATTTTACCATAATTCAATATTAGTAAAGAATTTAATTTGAAAATAAATGTTTTCCGTTATGACTGCCTAATATATTAACAATTTGATCAAATTAAATATTGAAAGTTTGATACAAATGTTGTTTTAATTGGTTGATATGAAAACTGTATTTTTTGAAATGTACATACCTACTAATTCAGGGAACCCTAATTTCCTTAATGATAATTTTTTTTTTTAATACCATAAAAATCAAAATCCACAAGGTCTCCATGAAATCCTTGAATGGTGAAATACACTTTGACATTACACATACCAGGGTTTCCTTCAACCAGGGTAGTTACAATGAAAAAATAAGGATAGATTATTATGTTGTAACTATAGGTACACGCATTTGTTAATATTTTATTTCTTCTATTCTAGTATTCTGTTGTAATTAATGCTCATTATTCACCATGAATATTCATTAATTGATATTAATCAAATAGGTATTTATTTTAATTAGTGATCCAAATTTTAAGGCAGGTACGAGGTAAATTCCTATTCAAAAGCTATAAGTATGTTTTATTCTTCCAGGAGTTTGATTGTTATGAATCTTGATTTAAGTTCAAACACAATTGTATTTTCAAAAAGGTTTAATCAACAGAAAAGAAAAAAATCAAAAAAATTCATGAAGAACACATATAAATAATTGAAATGGGAGAAGGTATTTATACAATAAAATATGAGTATACTTATGTTCATTGAAAGGAGTATAAGTATGTCCAAGTACATATTAAGTTAATTTCAGCTAAGAAATAATTTTAATACAAATCCTTTACTAATCACATATTTTAACATATTTTTAGATACTAATCCATAGACATTAAAAGATAATTTAAATCCAAGTTAATTAAAAGTTAAAAGTTACGAAACAAAATGTAGTAGTCAACCCATGCATGTTGACTTACAGGCAATAATAGAAATAATAAATGAATTTATAATTAAGTCAATTTTAAGTAGTTGATTTAAATATAATTAATATCTAATACATGTCTAAAAAAAAATTTATCATTTGTACAAGAAAAAATTAAACAAGTTGATGAAAACTATATCAACGTATATCAAAAATGAAGTGTCATTACATGCTTTTTAAATTTGTTATCTCTTTAAAAGTCTGAAAACAAATATCACATTCATTCAAAATTACACCGGTATGTATTCTTATATGACTTGTTAAATGATGTTTGAGAGAAAAAACTTTATTACAGCTATCACATTCATACCGCTTTTTTCCGTTATGCGTCCTTATATGCCTTATCAAAGCTCGTTTGTGAGAAAAATCTTTATCACAGTTATTACATGCATACGGCCTTTCTCCTGTATGTATAATTGTATGAGTTGTTAAATTTGTTTTCCGAGAAAAGGCTTTATCACATATGTCACATTTGAATGGCTTTTCACCGGTATGTGTCATTAAATGTCTCATCAAATATGATCTTTTAGAAAAAGTTTTATTACAGTTTTTACAAGCATATGGCTTTTCTCCGGTATGTATCAATATATGTCTTGTTAAATTATGTTTGAAAGAAAATTTTTTATCACAGTCTTCACAAGCATACGGCCTTTCTCCTGTATGTATTCTTGTATGAATTGTTAAATGTGTTTTCTGAGAAAAGGCTTTATCACATATTTCACATTTAAATGGCTTTTCTCCGTTATGCGTCCTTATATGCCTTATCAAATTTCGTTTGTCAAAAAAGTCTTTATCACAGTCATTACATGCATACGGCCTTTCTCCTGTATGTATTCTTGTATGAATTGTTAAATATGTTTTCTCAGAAAAGGCTTTATCACATATTTCACATTTAAATGGCTTTTCTCCGTTATGCGTCCTTATATGCCTTATCAAAGATTGTTTGTCAGAAAAGTCTTTATCACAGTCATTACATGCATACGGCCTTTCTCCTGTATGTATTCTTGTATGAATTGTTAAATGTGTTTTCCGAGAATAGGCTTTTTCACATATTTCACATTTAAATGGCTTTTCACCATTATGTGTCATTAAATGTTTCATCAAATATGATCTTTTAGAAAAACCTTTATCACAGCTTGGACAAGCATGTGGCTTTTCTCCGGTATGTATCAATCTATGGGTTGTTAAATTATGTTTGAAAGAAAATTTTTTATCACAGTCTTCACAAGCATACGGCCTTTCTCCTGTATGTATTCTTGTATGAATTGTTAAATGTGTTTTCTGAGAAAAGGCTTTATCACATATTTCACATTTAAATGGCTTTTCTCCGTTATGCGTCCTTATATGCCTTATCAAATTTCGTTTGTCAAAAAAGTCTTTATCACAGTCATTACATGCATACGGCCTTTCTCCTGTATGTATTCTTGTATGAATTGTTAAATATGTTTTCTGAGAAAAGGCTTTATCACATATTTCACATTTAAATGGCTTTTCTCCGTTATGCGTCCTTATATGCCTTATCAAACTTCGTTTGTCAAAAAAGTCTTTATCACAGTCATTACATGGATACGGCCTTTCTCCTGTATGTATTCTTGTATGAATTGTTAAATATGTTTTCTCAGAAAAGGCTTTATCACATATTTCACATTTAAATGGCTTTTCTCCGTTATGCGTCCTTATATGCCTTATCAAAGATTGTTTGTCAGAAAAGTCTTTATCACAGTCATTACATGCATACGGCCTTTCTCCTGTATGTATTCTTGTATGAATTGTTAAATGTGTTTTCCGAGAATAGGCTTTTTCACATATTTCACATTTAAATGGCTTTTCACCATTATGTGTCATTAAATGTTTCATCAAATATGATCTTTTAGAAAAACCTTTATCACAGCTTGGACAAGCATGTGGCTTTTCTCCGGTATGTATCAATCTATGGGTTGTTAAGTTTTGTTTGAATGAAAAAACTTTATTACAGCTATCACATTCATACAGCTTTTCCCCAGTATCTGTTAATTTATGATTTGTTAAATGATGTTTAGAAGTAAAAACTTTATCACAGCTATGACATGAATACGACTTTTCTCCGGTATGTATCCTTTCATGTGTATTTAAATTTTGTTTGTTAGAAAAAGCTTTATCACAGCTGTTACAAACAAACCTCATTTTTCCGTTATGTGTCCTTCTATAGCTGTTTGATGTCAAATCCAAATTTATACGATTTATGTTTTCAAAGGGTTTGATTTGGATGGCTTTACCTCTAAATTCAGCAATGTCAATCACATCTAATTCCTCTTTTATGTCAACTCTGCTATTTTCTTCAGTTTTAGTTCTAAAAAAAAATAAGTTATTTTAAAAATATGTTAACTTTTATCAAAGAAAGAAAAATAAATATAACTACATAATATTCTGTAGATTTTAATAATAAATTTTAGGTATACCTATTGAACCAAATTGTTTTACAATGTTTTTCAATATATTATATAAAAATTACACATTGACAAAAACTTTTATATTTATATAATATAGTTTATACATTTATTTATATATCTATCTAATAATTTGTTAAGAGGTAAGATACTATATGTTGAAATTAAAGCATTCCTTCTGGTAGAAATGTTGTATACAAGAAAAATACAAAATTTTAAAACCACTAGCTTAATCTCTCAGCTCAAAATCTAAAATGTAATAGTGATTCCTCATCAGTTTGTCTACCATTAACTAAAAAAAAAAATTTACAATAAACTTATTTCTCAAGGAAGGATGTTTTTTTTTATTTTGGAGTTATTTCAAAGGATTAACCATAGATATACTTAATCACATTCACAGGATTTCACCTATGTAACAATTTTAAATATAAATATGTTACCTGTGTATTTGAACTCTAAATTATGTACGATTGACATCCGACCGATATAACAATATTAACACGCACATAATTGTAAGGACTATGGCAATCATACACCAGAGGTCCAAGGCCAGATAGAATACATTAATGGGATAGATATCATTAGCACTTTTGTACAAGATCAACCAAAAAAAATTACATACAATATGAATTACTCGCTTATAACGCAGCAATT